GGTGCGTGCGTGCGTGATGGCGGTGGTGGTGGTGGTGGCGGTGGTGGTGGTGCGTGCGTGCGTGCGTGCGTGCGCGTGCGTGCGTGCGTGTGTGTGTGTGCGTGTGTGTGTGTGCGTGCGTGTGTGTGTGTGTGTGTGCGTGTGTGTGTGTGGTGTGTGTGTGTGTGTGCGTGCGTGCGTGTGTGTGTGTGTGTCCGTTCGCGCGTACGCGTGTGCGCGTGCGTGTTCGCGCGCCTGTGCGTGATCATGCGCCTGTGCGTGCGTTCGCGCGTGTGCGAGTGCGTGGGGGCGTGTACGCAGGCTCGGGCGCGAGCGCGAGCGCGAGCCCGACTCCGAGCCCGAGACAGAGAGTGAGCGCGAGCTTGAGACCGAGCCCGAGCCCGAGGCCCAGCCTGAGCGCGTGCGCGTGCGTGTGCGCTTCCGGTCGTGCAACATGCGGTCAACAAAAACACGATCAACATTATCTGCTTGGCTATCACTGCGTCAGCACATGCCAAACAGGGCGCCGCCAGAGGCTCTGGGGCTCCGAGACGGCGCGGTGACCACACAGCGTGGTGGATTTGGAGTGACTGCGCGGTTCTGGGGTTTTCTTACGTTTTCATGAATTATTGTGGGTGTTCCTGCCCCAGGACGCGTTCCAGCAGCTGCGCCTCGCATCGCCGAAGGCGCTCCCGGAGTGCCCGGATCGTCCCGACCGGCCGCCGGAGATCGGAGCTATGCCCCGAAAGCCGGAAGAGCGGTGACCACACCGTGTGGCGAGTCAGCGCGTTACTGCACGATTTTGGAACTCGGGTCGCTCTCCGAGGGCGTCTCGGGCGACATGGAGCCTCCAGGGTCCCAAAACCTCGCGGCGACCGACCGTGCGGTGAGTTCCTTCGGGATTTCGATGTCACCGCGCGGTCCGTCACCTCACGGTTCTTACCCCAAGGGGCGGTGCGTCGCCAGGGGTATATCGAGGCCGTCCTGGGCTGCTCGGGGGGCCTGTCGAGGCCAGCGGGGACTACCTCTGGTCAGTGGCAATGCTTGGGGGGATGGGCTCAGGGAGGAAGGTATCGATCCCCAATCGCCCATTCACTGCCGATAGGGGCTTGATAGCCCACCCCGCCCAGGACCATGCGGATTCGATATCGGGGGCCTATCGCCGATCAATCGGCGATGTATCGCCGATCCCAGCTCGATACTTCCCCCCTGAGCTGGTCAGCCCCGAATTAACGTTACCCCTCAACCTCTTGAGGCTGCAAGTGAGCAGCCCCAAGCCTTCCCAAGTCCAGACCTCCTCCGCGCACCCCCCCTGGCCCCCCACCCGCCTCCACGCTCTAGAAAGGGGGGAGGAAACGGGGGTCGAGGTTTTGGGTCTTTGGGCAATTGGGGAGCCTCTGTGAGGCTTCTCGTCGCCACTGCTGTACCCTCTTCGAAATTATGATCCAATGTTCCGGTGGGGGCGTTCGTTAAGGAATGTGCCTAAGAGGCTTCAGACCCTGGAGGAGTCCTTATCCAATGAGGGCGGCGGTGATACTCATGGCCTTTCCACGGTTGGTGCTCCGCGGGCTTCCAGACCCTTAATTCCTTATCCATTGGTTCCTTTTCCAATGCCTTCACCGTAATTAATATTCATCCATGGATAAGTCCCATGCGCTGACCCCCTGTGAATCTTCCCCCTGTGAGGGGGGGGAACTTGACATGCATCGTCCCCTTTGTCACCCCAGCCAGTCTGAGCATCCGTCCTTCGTCCTTGTACGTAAATCTTCGCTGAGCCATCAGACGTGTGGGTAGGGCGGTCCGTGCGTTTCGCCTGCGACCTATCCACAACGAATGAGCCTAGAGCTGAAATGTCCCGGCTGACATTCACACTCACGGAGCAGATTTGCAGCTTTTGTTTGTAATCAGGTTCACGCCTCAACGCCTCGCACATTTTCCGAATGGCGACAAGGATGAAGGGTGGTCTGGCTTTTAGATTGTTCCCACGCTCGCTTTTAGCAATCACCGCTGCTTCAAGTATGGACGGCCGTCCTTTTCCACACTTGGCTCTCGCCGGAGGCCTCGGCACGTTCGATACCAGAAATTTTGAGACTTCCAACAGCTAATAGAGTGGAGGGCAGGTCATGTTCATGACTGCGCTTCCCCGTGTGACCTCTTCACATGTCAAGAGCCTGGATCTCGATTGCTCAACATATCGAGTCACGATCATTGGAGTGGGAGCACATACACATCTTATATTTACATGTATCGGCTGATGGGGGAGACTTAAAACGCAAGGCGTTATCCTCCAATATTTAGCCTCCGCCCTCCCCTTCCAATATTTCCCATGCTTCTCCTTCGGCTTCTCCTCTTCCTCCTCTTCCATTGCCTTTTCCTCCCTTCACTTCTTTCTAGTCCTCCTCCTATTCTCCTCGTCCTTCTTCTCTTCCCTCTTGCCCCTTCTCTTACTCTCTCCTCCTGCTCTTCAACCTCCTCCTTCTCCCCCCCCTTCCTCCTCCCCTCGCCTCTTCTTCCCTTCTCATTTGAGGAAAGGGAGCGGGAAGGATGGGCTGGTGGCTGCGACCATGGCACCCCGAGGACGCAGGCAGCGACCGCTTCCCGAAGCCTGGGCAGGCGACCCGCGCGCATCGGGTGGTTTTCGTTTTGTCTCGGCGGAGGATCGGGGATCGCGGACTACTATTGTGCTTGCGACGTTGGCATCCATTATTTCCAATATTGCTGCTACGGCTGAGCCCCAGAGTAAGAAACCTCATCCCGAAAAGTTGGGCCCGCGTTTCTTGGCCAACTTGCCGATCAGCTGGCCCAGTTAGTTTGAGCACGTTCATTCCTTCAAAAAACGTCATGGGAAGTTGGGCCAGATTTCATACATGATAAGTTTTCGATCAGATGTTCTGCTGTACGTGTACGACCACGGCTACTCTTACGAATCAAAAGCGCCAGCAGAACACTACGATTTTAATTCATGTTACAGCGCGTGACGACCGCTACAATTACCACTACCATATTACTTCTGTTGCTACGACTGCGACCACCACTATCACCGTGGCGAAAATTTGTTTCGAAACGCAACACCTGGAGAGAAGATACTCCAGGCCGATGTTGGGGGAGTCCCAGGATGTTGCGCGCGTGGAAGAACATTCGGCCTTTTCAGGCTGGGACCGGGGACGCTCTGGGACAAATCTTCGCATTTAGAAAACAAGATTGTCATGTCGAGCCGGCCCTTTATTATGATAATATTGAGCCCGGGGGGGGCCAGGGATAAGATTTTCTATTAGCGCGCGAAGCTCCAAAAGCTCCGAAGGGTGCCCTTGTTAGGATTCTGTGTCGGAGGGAGGTAGACACGATTGCGGCTCCCAGGCGCGCAAGCAAAACCCGCCTGGCGTGGGGATGGCAACGAGGACAGTGCGAAACAACAGTGTGCCTACGCAGAATGCGAAGAGCAACACCCTTCTCAGAAATTATGCCCAGCCTCGCGCGTGGCGCGGATTGCCGCGTGCTTGCGCTGTCGATGGGGTAGCTGAGCGGCCCGCACAATTTTCATTGACGGTGAGAGGCAAAAGGGAGGAGGAGGAGAGTGGGATGGCGAAAGCCTGCGGTCATTATGTGTTCATCTAGTCGGTGCCCAGGGACAGGTCTCGCAGCGTTGCAAAACTCAGTGTCATGGCGTTCTCCTTCGGGACGAAATAGGGTTGACGCTACCGTGCAAGGGTCCTCCAGTGCACTGTGACACCTCCAATTGAATTGCACCACGCCGCTGTGATTCTACCACGACTACTACGACAAGTGCGGCCGATTTTGCTACTGTCCCTATTTGTACGACTACCATAACTACAGCCTCCACTGTTGCATCTACCAATAGTGCGAAGGCCTTAGGCCAGTGCCGCCGACCTTGTGTGCTAGGAGGGCGCCGAGGAGGGAGGGGGAGAGCGAAGGAACGATGAGGAGCGAGGAGCGAGAAGCGAAAGGCGAGAGGGAGGAGGAGCGAAGAGGAAGCGGAGGAGCAGGATGGGGAGGAGAAGGTTGGAGGAGAAGAAATAAACAGAGGGGGTTGGAGCAGGACCTTTCCCCCCGATTTCGGTACTCACCCTCCTCCTCCTCCTCCGTAGCCATTTTGGCTCGAGCCATTTTGGCTCAAGCCATTTTGGCTCAAGCGCTCAAGCTTGCTTGATTTCAATTCAGGTGACGGTGCATGCGATGGGGCCTCATGGCGCGCGTGGCGGCTTCCGTGCTGGCGGTGGCAGCGGCGATGCCGGCTCCCCCTCGGGGTCTTCCTCAGATCGCAGCACCTCTCGCAGCGAACCACGTCGTCGTGACAAATAGCGTCGCCAGCAGTGAAAGGCGGGGCCTGGGACCAAGGCGCTCGCGCCGCTGATCGAGCACCAGGCGTGCTGGCGGATCCTCCGCTGCTGCCGCAGCTGACGCGTCAGCCCTGGAGGCCATGCCGACGCCCGCTTCACGTTCCCAGCCGGACCGTGCGCCGCCTGGCACGCCAGGGCCCACGGACGCCTGGGCCGCCGCTGCTGCTTCTTCCAGGCCGCGGTGTTGCTGGTGCTGGTCCGGCCGCTGTACTGGTTCCTCCTGTAGTGCAGGACTCTGCCATTTGGGAGTCGTATATCGCGAACGTCTTCACCAAGCGCCTCCCCGACTTCGTGGACAAGGTCGCGGGGAAGATGGAGTCCAAGGTGCACTCCACGGTGCAGTCCGCCACCGCCGACATCCTGGCAAATATTAACGGCCTCGCGAAAGGCGGGGAACAGTTGCCTGCCACGCCTGAGGCGCCCATTCTGCACAACGCACGGAAATCCATGGAGGGCGTGATTCTCCAGCTCACCCAGCAGATCGATGGATTACGAGTTCAGTGCAAGGCGTTGCAGCGTGAACAGGGCTAGCACTCGGCCTTCCTTGCGCAGCACGAAGCGCACCAAGGAGCTGGAGGATGCTCTGGCCGTGGCGGCTCAGCAACCTCGCCCCCGCACGCTGGCGGACACGAGCTTCGACCGGCAGCCCGACGCCACCATCTTACGCGCCCGTGTGCAGGCCATCGTCCCCTGGGTTGCAGTCGTCAGCCTCCTTACCCCCTTTTTGGTGGGTGCGGCATCGCTGCGGAGAGGGTGGAGATCACGGGGCCCGAGGTGGCCAAGCACTTCACCATCCAGTTCAAGGACCAGCCTGGCGTTGCTGGGCGGCTGGTCATTCGTGTCCTTGGCTCTCTTCGTCGCGACGGCAGCTGGGTCGCCTTCGACGTCCCGCCCCCCGCGGGGGGCATCTCGAGGCTCCGCGTCTTCGCCGACAAGTCCCAGAAGCAGATCTCCACCGAGATGGCCTGCAAGCGCGCGAAGGCATGCCTTGAGCACACCCGCCCAGGGAAGACCTTCTACACCGACCGCGAACGCCGGGTAATTTCGCACCAATACCTTGAGGCTTGCCGCCTGGAGCCCACGCCCAACCGAGGCCCCACGAGCGTCGATTGGAACGAGGACTTCTTCCTGCAGTGCCCGTTCACCACGCTGGAGGAGATGGCTGCTGTGGTGGCTCCCGCTGTGGCCGGCCGCCCTGAACCTGATTGGGTGCATCAAGACCAGCTGCAAGTACAACACTTTATTAACAGGGTGGCGCTCAAGTTGACGGCCCACCTGTCTGCATGCGAGGCCCTCGTGGCGCCGCCCGCGGCGGCGTCGCAACGGTGGCGCTGTCATGGTGCACTCCACTTCATGTTGATAAGCTGGTTCCAGGTCGTGCTCTTCGCGTCGCAATGCGAAGCCGACGGGCGTCAGGATCTTTCATTGCAACGTCCACAACCACCAGCTGAACGCTGCACAGGTCCCGCTGATCTGCTCGTCGATCGACGCCGACGTTGTGGAGGCGATGTCATGGGTGACTTGAATTTTTCGGTGCACGACTCGTTGTTCCTTCGGGCACTGGCTGCCGCCTCACAGCAGCACGTGGCGTCCGCGCCGCGCTGGCTGGCGACGTTGGATCGCTCGTTCGAGCTGGATTCCACTGAACCCACACATACTCACGTGATAATGACACGCTCACGTGCATCGACCGCTGTTGGACGAGCCTCCCGGGACGGGTCGCCGCGCAGCTTTTCTTCGAGGTAGGGGCGCAGGGTTCTGGCGCAACGCAAGGTCAGCGACCGCGCCGGCCTGGTGGTCTCACTGCAGCCGCCGCGCCCCCGTGAGGCCTCGATGCCTGCTATCTCCCGCGAGGTCTTCCGGTCGCCGATGCCTGCTGAGACGCTCGAGGCCTGTCTCCCCCGCGTGGACTTTGAAGCGGTGCTGCCCGCTCGGGCGCTGGACTGCGACAATGAATTATTGCGCGAAGCTGCTCGTCTCGCCCGAGTCCGCGCGGCTTCTGCATCTCCCAATGCGCCTCGCACCAGGCAGCAGCTCGCCCGTGGCATGGCGCGAGCTGTGCGGAGACAAGATGCTGGACGCGCCTTCCGCCTGCGTCGGTCGCGCCCCGCTGCGTCTGACTATCTGCGGGTGGATGGCGCGGGGGCGGCGTCGCTCTCCAGCCCCGTCTCCTTCGCGCGGTGGGCGGGGAATGCGCATTTGGATGCGATCGAAGCCGCTGTCCGCGATCTTTGAGCTGCCGCTGGAGCCGACCGCGGCCCCTGCCGGCGTCTCCTCGGACAAGTCCAGGCTGCCGAGCGTCGGGCCCGTCTCTGGGCCCCCATCGGTAAACGCCTCACGTTGACTGCAGTTCGCCGTGAAGGCGCTGTCATTTCTGAGCCAGGTGCTCGCGACCGCATTTTACATGACTATTGGCGTCCAGTCTTTGCTGGGGCTGGCAAGGCGCGCGCAGACCGTTTCTTGGCCCCCGCGGACTTCTCGGCGATTCCGGCGCTGACGACAGGTGCGATGACCCGCATTGTTCGACGGTTGCGGTCGTCTGCTCCTGGCGTTGATGGCATGCGTTGCGATGCCTGGCGGGCTTCGCCTGCTGGTGTAGACATTACGTGGAGGTCAATGCAGTGTCGCCTGGCAGGGGGGCGCTTGTTTGACTCCTCGAATGACACATTGCAGGTTTACTTGCCCAAGGGGTCTGCTGATGATGATCTGCCTTCCGGGGACGTGGTTCGCGCTCCTGGAGGTTGCCGCATCCTCGGGCTGAGGAACGCCGATAGGATCATTTTGACGGCCGCGGTCAACCACCCTTTAAATTGCTGACCAAGCAGGTGGTGCCCGAGAACCAGCGGGGCTTTATTCTAGGGCGGAACTTCTTGACGAATGCGGTGGAGGTGGACGCGGCTGCGCGTGAGTACCCCTTTCGACCGACGGCGGCCGCGGAACTTCATTGCCTTTTTTTCGCTGGACATTGCGCAGGCCTTCCCTTCGCTCCATCAAGGCTGGATGCAGCTGTGCCCCGCGAAGCTCGGGTGCCCCGTGACCGCCATGAACTTCATCACTGCGCTGTGCATGCCGTTCTCTGGCGTCATCCGCACCACTCGGGGTCTGCAGGTAGCGTGCTCCGCGGAGTCGGGCATCATTCAGGGGCGCGTGCTGTCCGGCACGTCAGTTGCTATTGCCGCGGCTCCCTTTGCCGCTGACCTCGAGGCTAACGTGGGCCGGGCGGGCATTGGAAATGATTGTGCGCTGATGACATTG